CAGGGGAGACACAATTTTCTTGTTATCAATTCAAGTAATTACACTGAATAAAAAAAATTGTTGTTGGGGCCAGATTTATATTAAGTGTAAAATTCGTAATTGCTATTTTCTAACTTAAAAATAAAGTTAAGAATATTTTATATTCAAAAATAAATAAAAATAATCTGAATGTTTGTATGTTTGTTCTTAAGATAGTTCTAAAAACAAAACTTAGAAGAAATGAAATTCTTGAAAAGAATGTCCTTAAAATAATCAATTTTTATCTTAATTTTTTTAATGATTTAATGTTTGATGATTTTATTTAAAACAAAAAAAATAATACCAAACAAACAAATTCTTAAAAAAATTGTGAACTACTTAGAATTTATTTTAAGAAATTTCTTAACTTATTTCTTAAGATTTTGCTGATATCCACATGCATGTCTATCCCTCGCAGCCTTGTTTTCATTCATGCCACACTACATATGGTGTCTACTCTGACCAAAGTCCATTAACAGGACAGTTTTGTCATATTTCATGATGTAATCTTAACCACAGCTACTTTGCTCCTACCCTGCGTCATTTGCTACTTCCCTATCTCCACGAACATGTTAATGACAAATTTCTGTGTATTGTCAAACTGGCATTGAGACCCTGAGTCAGCGGTGTTATATCCAGGCTGAGGTGTCCTGCGGGGTGAGATCTTTTGTTGTGTGTGGACAGAGGGTAGGGGTTTCAGGGTGGGATGGGTTCAGAAGGTGGTCCCAGGGGTCTGGCCCCTGAGCTGACTGCTAATAAGAAGCCATCTGAGGCCCTCGGAGTCCCTGTGCACCTTGAACATGGCCACTACTGCCACCTGACCTTGGCTTTGATCTGCCAAAGTGCTTGACCTCTCAATTCCCCACTGGCCACCCCTTACCATCTGGACAACAGCACACATACTCTTCATCTCGCTCTATCACCCTCATGCACACGTCAAAAAAATTTCTTAAACAACTTTTCGTTAAAACAACTTCACACATACTGATTTGGCTTCAAGAGCAAAGGAAGTGACTACTGTCTTTATGAATGAATCACTGAATTATTGCCTCAGCCAATTAGTTAAAAAAAAAAATGCAGATTCATTCAGTCATGAAAAACCACTGTGTTTTGCTCGGAGACACACAACGATTCTGCTGTGGCTTTGTTTTTGACTATTTTTGTTGGCCCAAAAAAAAAAAAAGTCAAAAATATAACTCACAATACCTCTTGTTTATTGTACCGTTGAATATAATCCATCACATTTGTAATCTCAATGATATTTGAGAAGAAAACCACACCCTTGCTTGTAATATTGCTTAACCCTATGAAGCAAAAACTCATACAGGGCCTTTATGAATTGCCCCCATATATTGGATTTTGAGGTCATTCTAACTGCATTAAAGGGTTAGTTCACCCAAAAATGAAAATTCTGTCATTAATTTTATTCAACAATTCGCCTCCTCCGCGTCACTGTAGTGCCATTTTGGAGAGTATCCACTGAACGTAAACAGCGTATGCTATTCTGTGTCAGCTGCGTCACGCGGATATGTTTTCTACGCTGTTTACGCTTTGATTTGAATGAAAACAACGTATCCGCGTGACGCAGCTGACACAGAACAGCATATGCTGTTTGTGTTCAATGGATATTCTCCAAAATGGCACCAGCGTGATGTGGAGGAGATGAATTGTTGAATAAAGTCGTTATTTTTGTTTTATTGCATATAAATTCGTAAAATTACGGTTGAACCACTGATGTCACATGGATTATTTTACCGATCTTCTTGCTATGTTTCTGGACCTTGATCTTGTTAATTACATTGCTGTCTATGGGAGGGTCCGAGAGCTTTCAGAATTCATCAAAAATATCTTAATTTGTGTTCTGAAAGATGAACAGAGGTCTTACGGGTTTAGAACGACACGAGGGTGAGTAATTAATGACAGAATTTTCATTTTTGGGTGAACTAACCCTTTAAGCTAGGCTACATCACAATAACAGCATGCGTTCTCGAGGAATGTTGCATGTTTGGCAAAGTGTGCAATATACTCAATAATGTCTGCTTCAACATCATTAAAACAACAATTACGATATCATTGTAGACGATCCACATCCTCACACCCCTATACACGGATCGATTCAGATTCGTACTCTAATCCAAATGTTTCTCTACCATTTGAAACAATCTTTTGTTGATACAGTATTCTGCTTCAGAGTGTTCTGGTTGACGACCCAGTTGAATAGATTGTTTTGGACTGTTCTTGAATACTCAATGAGTCTGTGCGCTCCCCTGGGCTTCTGCTCTCGACAGCCTTGAATGCCTCGCCTTTGTCACCTGGTGCACCGTGGGGTGGCAAAGTGGTCTCCAAAAGAGTGGAAAAAGAGCATTATCTGTTAAAACCCCTCCTCAAAATGCTTAGAGGACTTTTTTTTCCCTCCAAAGTGGATTTGCTTCATCTGTTTTTCCCTCTCTGGTGTAACAGCGCTATTGTACTTTTTGTTTACACACTTTTTTCCCCTTTCTCCCATCTACGCACAATCTGACCTGTGCTCGAATGAGGTCATCACATTATTTTACATGGCAGGGGGATGTTAAATTTGCCCTTTTGACACCACATCCCTCTCTCCAGCGCTTTCTAGAACATTCTGTGTAGATGTTCTGGGTGCACAGAGCTTTGGGAGTCGTGTTCTTGCGATTAATGCTTTCGGAAATTCCCACTATGCTTCGTTAGCATGGGACTAGAGTGTTTTCCGTCGCAGGTGCTGTAAGGGTGACTTAGATTACAATCACGTTGGGAAATCCCTAAACTTCAGATAACTTTCTTCTCATCTACAAATTGTGAAGGTTCCCGCTGGCCTGCGTAAAATACAGAATTGCCCCGTGTTTGTTTTTCTGTTCTGGAACGGTGTCATCCGAGCGACCTCTGTCCTTTCCTGTATGTTTCGTTCTCCCTGCTTCCAACAGAGACGAGCGCTCACTGCGTCACTGTCCTCTGCTTTATTGAATTAATCCACACCGCCGTCATCTAGCCCAACTCACGCATTCAGCGGAACAACCTGTGCCACAACAATTAGAGAAACCCGAGACGGAGAGGAGATGGCAGACAAATCATGCCAGCAAAAGCAGCTTGATTGTTTTGACTCCTGATGCCTAGCTGTCTATGCCTTTCTCATACTATAATGTTCAATAAAGAACAAATCCCACATCTAAACACCGGCATTCATTTATGCAAACAGCTGCCGAGTCTACGTGGTATCACGAAAATCAGAGGTGTGCCAGAAGCCGCAAACATCGTTTAGGCGCAGACGAATGTACGATACGTAATGTGCTGCATAAATTTGTTCAATAGATGAGAGGTTAGGGTATTTTTTTTCATCCTCAGGAAGTGGGAGTGCATGTTGGCCGATGGCAGCAGTGACTCCGGCTGAGGTCAATATTTGTTTTAGGAATCTCAATAGCTGAGCCACGCTTAAGTCATCTGCATCTCTGATAGCGCACACACATGCACGCTATATATACATATAAATACAGCAGTACACACAGATTGTATGCCTGTATCAGTTTTTGAGTGATTGCCAGGCTTGCGTTGGTGTGTATGTGAACATCAAGGCAGAAACACCTGCTCGTGCGTTTGTTTGGACGGTTAACGGACTGTAGCTGTAACTGAACAGGCTACGCTCACCATGTGTGTAATGGCTTCAGGAAGATCTGATTTGTTTCATCTGCCATAGTACAAGTGCCCACACTATTACATGAATTTGCCATTTGCCCTGAAATGCCAACTGGAATGTGCCGGACCCTAAAGGAAAGCTTTAATTAAAGCGAACCGTAATAAACTTTTTTGTTGTTTTTTTTTTTGGGGGGGGTCCTTTCTCTGAAAGCCTTCTGCTACATCTCCTTTTTAATTCATTTCCCCTGATTATTTTCGCTTCCTGTACATGGGGGAAAAAGATGAATATTCTGTCATCATTTACACCCTCATGTCATTCCAAACCTTGTGTGACTTTCTTCCGTGGAACACAAAAGGAGATGTTTAGTAGTATGTTCACACTGCTGCTTTCCATGAAGTCAAAGCATATGCTGTCGCCAAGCCTTCTGCATTATAATACACACTTTTAAGCTCATTACGGTTTATTTTAATAATGAACTTTTGTTAATGTACTTTTATTCAGCAAGAATGAATCAAATTGATCAAAGTAAAGAAATTATGTTTCAAATGCATTCTGATGCATACAAATGCATACATTTTGACCCCTGAAAAATAAAATGTACACAAAATGTATAAAAAATAAATGTATAAAATGTCACAAAACTTTGAAGCTGCAAAAATAATCAGCAGTAAATCAGCATATCAGAATGATTTCTGTAGGATCATGTGACACTGAAGACTGGAGTAATGATGCTGAAAATTCAGCTTTGCGTCACAGGAATAAATTACGTTTTAAAATATATTACAATAGAAAACAGCTATTTTAAGTTCTAATAATGTTTTCACGATATTACAGTTTTTACTGTATTTTAATTCAACAAATGCAGCCTTAGTGAGACCTGTTAAACATTTAAAAATATTGAAACTAAAATTGTATGTATTATAATTACATTTATTTGTGTTTATATGTGTATATATACAATATCGGGGCTTTTCAACTCACTTCTCTTTAATTTGCAAGTAGTTCTGAACATCTTAATAGGCTTGTACAGGCGTGTTTGGTTCTGGCTTCTTGATTCACCATTTTTGAAAATGAATGCATGAATTTTAGTGTGTTATTCTTTAGTGTGTTCCTCCCACAACTTGTCTGAATAACTCCAGAGGAGTAACTTTTTTTTGAGTCTGACAGCATTAAAATGTGATGATTTTTTTTCTTCCCAGTCTTTCTCTGTGCTGTTGTTCGATTTCCTTGATTATCTTTATGGTCCCATCGTCCATTCGTTGTTGCTGGGTAATTTCAAACGCTGTGTTGATTTGCTGTTATGTAAATGTGATGTTCCTTGACCGTCTCTCAGTTATGAGGAGAGGGCTCTCTACCTGGAGGCCATCATTCAGAACCACAAGGAGAACATGACCTTTGAGGACTTTGCTGCCCAGGTCTTCTCGCCTTCCCCCAGCTACTGGCCAACGGGAGGTGCAGGTGAGACACTGTTTCTGTTTTTATTTTCCTTTCCTATTTCCTGTTGTTGCTAGCAATTTATTTTACCATCCTGTTCTGCATGTACATACTGTGTAGTAATTACTACAATTAGGCAGTAAGTGAATCTAACCCTAAATCTAACATTAAACCACGTTACTTTACATATGGTGCATTCTTAAGTACACTGCAAGTGCACATATGCTCAAATAAAGTGCAACTATTTTGTTTTCATTTCACTGTCCCATGCATCATTGTTCCGCTGTTTATGAAATTTGGAAATCTCTAAAATGGGTAGATTGTCTGGTACAGTTACTTTTCAAATGCCCTGTCAGCTGAGGGTGGATGATGCACAGGTGCACTGACCGCTCAGGCGCTTCATTTTAAGACGGCCAAAATAAAATCAATACAGCCTTCGACTGTGAAAGCCCAGTATATCAAACTGAAAATGCGCTGTACTACAGCTTAATGAGTTACATAACTGAAAGGAGAAAGTGATGTGGTTAAAAATCTATTTAAAGTACACTTGCAAAATACTAAAAGAATCAGGGTCCCAACAGGAAATTACAGGTTAATATCATTTTTGATTTCTAGACCTTGAAATGTCATGGAAATGAATCAAATCTCGAAACGTCTTGGAAATGTCTTCTGTAGTGAATATATATTTTTTCTACTTATGCTCAGCTCTAAAATATTGATTTGGCTAGAAATGCTATTTGTGAGTTCAATCACTATAAAATATATTGTATCTAATAATTACATGACTGGAAATTCATTGGCAAACCACTGTGGGAACCCTGGATAACAGTCTGATCAGTGTTATATAGTATATTGTCATTTTTATTAGGTTTTTTGTAAAATGTCTGTATAGTTAAGTTTAGTTTTTTAGTTTTAGTTTATTTCATTTTTGTTATTTTAGTATGTCAACTAAACCATAATGAGAAATGTTCCCTTGCCAACTAGCTGAAATAAAATGAATTTGAGGTTTTACTTATATTTTATTTAGTTTCAGTTAATGTTTATTTTATTTCAAGCAATATATATATATATA